CTCTCTCTCTCTCTCTCTCTCTCTCTCTCTCTCTCTCTCTCTCTCTCTCTCTCTCAGCCTGAAATACTCTCACCACATCCTGACTGCACTTAGCACTCCTAAAGGCCCAGCTCACATACTGTCCTGCTCAGAGTAGTCCCAGAAGGCTGGAGTGGCACCCACCCTGCTCATCACAACTGTCCATTTTCTATTTGGCCATTTCTGCTGCCTTCTTAGTTGACTATGCAAAGAAGTGTTAGTTAAAATGAATGCCCGCCTTCCTCTATGCTTTGGACTCTAGGCTCTTTTTTGGGGGGAGGCGGTAATCTCACCCTGTAGCCCCCCTCTACATTATGGGTGTATACCACCACACCCGACCCGGCTGTTCTGAATAGAATTTAGGGCAGGACTAGTCAGTACCCCAGCCCCACTTACTTGTCCAGGAGAAAATGCACCTGGTGCCTTAGGCCTCAGCACGCACTGCCCACAGTCCTGGGTAAGCCCCGGCTGGCCTTCTCCACCCCCTTCTCAACTCTTATCAGCTTATTCTCCTGGAACAACTAAACGGTGGAGGTGTTCCTCCCCTGGCATCCAGGGGACAGCTGGGGCGTGTGTCTCAGGACCCTCCTGACTCCCCGTAGTGCAGTCTATCTCCCGAAGCCCAGGTGAGTGGGCAGGGTCTTGGGAAGGCCTGCCCCCCACCCCCAAGTGTCTGTTTGAGGGGCTGAAGCCCCATCTCTCACCACCCACAACCCCATCAGGAGCATCCTGGTGTGGAAATGGGCCTGGCCGGGCCCCAGGCGATACCTGCCCAGCATGTTGCCTGCAGCCAGTCCTTCCCTTCCCGACAGTACAGATGGACTCCTTAACCTGGAGCCCCCCCCACCTCCCCAACACCCTTCATTCACCCTGGCTCCCACCTCAGTTTCTTCCTCCTGGGCAAGCCGCTGCTCGATGAGCTCTGTGGCTCTCTGCACTGCCTCGGGACCCTCCATGGTGCCCTCCATGGTGCCCTCCATGACTGCCTCAGCAAGCCACAGGGCACAGGGTCTTTATAGGCCAGAGCACCCACCACGCCCACTGGGCGCCTTTGTCATGAGCTCACGGCCTCAATTCTCCACCTGCGTCCCCCACCTGTCACCTTCACCTCGGACAGCCCCAGGGAGCATGGGAAACCACTGCCCAGGCCAGGGAGGCTGCCCCTCCCCTAACCTCTGGCCTATGGGAGCCAGAAGGCACAGCGCCCCAAGAGGACAGCTGCAGGAAGGGGTCCAGTGTCCTCAGTGCTGGGAACTGGCTAAGTCTTAGCCAGGGTGAATACGCTGCAAAAAGGACCAACATGTTGCCATTGGCCTGGATGGCAGTGCCACCTGCTGGATCCCAAGAAATCCTGTCCGGCTAGTGCCGGACAGGGGGCCTGAAAAAACCAAACATGAGCCCCCAGAGACCTGCGTTTTTAGGGGCTTTGGGGACCTTCTCTAGGCAGGAGTTGGAGCAGCTGCTGCCCTCTGGTGGCAGCACACCCTAGTGAAGCATGGCTACACTGAACAGCATGTCCATTAGCCAGCCACAGACAGACCCCGCCCATCTGTTTGCCTCTTCTTCCCAGGACCCTCCGCAGAACTTACAATGTTGCTTTAAGAGAAGACTCTGGGGAAGCCAGAGCGCAGAGCCAAGGCCAGCTGACAAGGAGTCTATTTAATGCCAGGCTGCCTTGGGCGAAGCTGGCCACACTCCCTAAAAACAGAGTACATGGAGGAAAGGCAGAGACCTGCACTCTCTGAGCTCCACGCCTGCGACTTGCAGCCTGCAGCCCTGGGTCACTGTGACCCAGGTTTAACCTGCAGCCACTGGGCTGCAGATGCCCCAGCTCTGCACTTCCACAACCGCAAGTGATGCCCCTGGTGACACCTTATCTGAGATTCCCTTCTGGTAATGCACACAGTTCTCCAGAGGAAACCCGAGGAACAGACAGACCCCCGCCCGGCCCTGGCTCACACATTTCTGAAAGCTCTGCTCAGACACAGCAGGGCACTCTATCTCCTCCATCTCCATGCTGGCACTGCAGGGCAGCAGGCACAAAGCTCACGCTGCCTTCTGTGGGTGCCCCCCCCCCCCGCCCCCGGAGCTGAGGACCGAACCCAGCGCTCTACCACTGAGCTAAACCCCCAACCCCTGTGGGCACGCCTTTGCTCTTTCACATGTGCCCCCCCCCATTTAACTGTCCCAGCAACTGCTGCAGGAGGCAGGGCAGGCAGGGCCACCTCCACTTTAAAAAAAGCGAAATGTGTTCGGAGATAAAGAAGGGCAGCTCAGGTTGGATGCTCTACTGTGCCCATCTGTTCCCAAACCAGCAGGAGCTCTGGGCTCCACCATGCTGTGGAATGCAAAGTCAAGGACTAGATGAGGAGGAGCAAAAGGCTTTATTGATAAAATGCAGATGTGTCTGTACACAGGGCCCTGCTGGGGCCGTGACCAGGCTACAGAGCCGACCCTGCCTGGGTTACCGTTGGGGATGGCCCTGTGCAGACCACTGCATAAAGCCTGGCTACCTGGCCCTCTGCCTCATCTCTGCCGATTGTGCTGGGTGCAGGGAGAGGCAGAGAGGCCCGCCTCAAGCTCTCCAAGCCCTGGGGCTCACTGGTGATTCCCTCCCCTCCAGGGGACTGGCACTGTGCCCAGGGCAGAGTCATGGTGAGGGACAAAGGGGGGAGACAGCAATTGCTTCCAACCCTGAGCAGAAAACTGGAGTGAGCACAGTGGTGGCACCAGATGACAGATCTGGGGTCCAGGGTTTGCAGGCCAGCCCCCACGGCGCCAACCCGTGGTGGTGAATGCCAGGTGCCGTTTCTCCGACAAGGTTGACAAGGCCTGTGTGTGGCAGGCAGCTCTGTGGATCCAGCACCCTGGAAGGCAAGTCCCTTCATGGCTCACTAAGAGCCATACAGCAGGGTGGCAGGAGGTGCCCCTGAAGAAGACAACAGCGCTGGGAGGCGGCCACAGGCCGGGGGCCTTGTGCACCAGGCCTAGGCCCCACAGCCTGCAGGGGACCTCCATGGCCTCTCTTCCCAGGAGTCAGCTGTCTATCAGTCCTGGGGTAGTGGGGGCTGGTTGATGATGACCTGGATGACAAAGTCTTTTTGAATCTTGGTTTCCTGGAGCCGTGTGCGGTCTGTAAGCAGCTTCCCAGAGAAGAACCACCTCTGCCAGGACGGCTCGATGCCCTCCTGGCTGTGCAGCTGCCTCTTGAGCTGCCCCACTGTGTCGGGCAGGCTGGCGCTGAGCCTCACGTCCCTGCCTGTGGAGAGGCGCACTTTCAGCGGGAATTCTCGGCGCACACTGGGGGTAGGCTCAGGAGGCTCCAGGCTCTCCTCCTCCGTGTGCTCCAGCAGCAGGTTCACAGGCGGTGACAGGCAATAGATGGGCAGTTGGTATCGATTGCCCAGCTCATCATAGCATTCACAAAGGGTTCCTGTGGGAAAGGCAGGGCAATCAGTGTAGTCTGGGGACCTGCTGTCCTGCACAGAATCCCGTGTCCCCCAAATTCCTATGTTGAAGCCAATTTGGAAGTAATAAGGTTACATGAGTAAATGATAATGTTGGGATAATCTGATGGGATCGGTTTTCTTACAAGGAAAGGCCCCAGAGAACTCTCCGCATCCTCTCTCTCTGCCTGCCTGCCCTGCCTAGCATGTGAAAACAGCAAAGAGGAGAGAACCCTCACCAGAACTAAAATGGCTGGCACTTTCTCCTTGGACTTCTGGAATTGTGAGAAACAGATTTCTAGTGTGTAAGGACCCGTTTGTGGTACTTTGTGACAGCAGATTAACTCACCCACCACAGCTACCGCACAGTCCCCAGTCTTACCCCTTAGTCAGGACACTCTGGGACATCCTTATGACTAGAAGAACACGGGGCTGGCTCCATCAGTCATTTGTTTATTCAACATTTTGGCTGAGTACACACGGTAGGTGCTGGGCTGAGCCCCAATTTCCTTACTGCTATAATGTAATGCAAGTGGGATGCCTTCACCGAGTCTTGAGCACCCCCAAGTGCTTATACTGGACTAGGTGATATTATGCACATCCTGAACACTCCTTTGTGATTGCAAGAGGCTCAGGCTTTAAGGTGAGACAACCTCTGCTCGGGGCCACAAAGCTAGGAAAGGCCACAGGAAAGGGCCGGTCAAGACCTCGGTCTGTGACTGGAGTTCTACAACTGCTTTCCCTTCGCAGCCTAACGAGGGCGCTAGGAACTTAAATGAGACAATGCAGCACAAAGTTCTGGATCAGGACCTCAAAGGCTCTGAGACCCTAAGTACCTCTAGCAAGCCTTTAGCTTGTAGGGCTTTTTTAAATAATATATATATATATGTATATAATTTATTTATTTTTATTTTATTTTCATTTGGTGCTTTGCCTACATGTATGTCTGTGTCAGGGTGTCAGATCTTGGAGTTACAGACAGTTGTTAGCTCCCATGTGGGTGCTGGGAATTGAACCCAGATCCTCTGGAAGAACAGTCAGTGCTCTATCTCTCCAGCCCAGCTTGTAGGTTCTATTGGTGTCTTTCTGTCTTCTCATTAGGCAAAAGGAGATCCTGTCCCTCCTACCTTCCTCAACAGTCTCATATAACCCAGACTGGCCTTGAACTTCAGACTCCCCTGTGCTGAGATCACTGGCATGTGCTACCATGCCTGGTTTTGTATCTTGTGATTCTTGTTCATGCCAGAAAGAGCTGTTTAAGTGAACCCGACAGCCATACATATATGCATATTCCTCCATCCCCACCAGCATAAAGAGAAACTACTGACACCTGGTGGCTTTCCTCCACCTCCATGTTAATGAACCCCGACACCCCCAGCCCCTGCAAGGGTGGACTCGGCGCTGCTTGCTTACCATGAGGCAAAGTGATGCTGGCTCCATCCAGGATGGCCTGAGCCAGCTCATGGTCATTAGCTTCAGCAGCATAGGCGGCAGCCTTGAGGGCATCCCAGATCTCCTTTCGGCCCTCAAAGGCAGGAGCTGTGTCCCAGAACTCATCTCGCTTGCTCCGCAGCTGCCCATCCGTCATGGGGTAGTCACTCTTCCACTTGAGCCGCTCCTTCTTCAAGGGCTCATTCCGTCCTGGGCAAGACAGACACAGGCTCAGCACCCGGCGCCACTTAAGCTGTAATTTGCCCCTCGCTGTCCCCGGCCTCTCAGGCACTTTACTGTACCGCTTCCTACGTATTTAGGGCACTGGGACACGTTCTTAAGAGCAAGGACGAGTTAGACATACAAAATACCTTTTTCGGCCAAGCAGGTTCTTGTCTCTTTGGGTGTTGGTACATGCGCGCGCGCGCGCGCACAGACAGACAGACACACACACACACACACACACACACACACACACACACACACACACACACA